GTTCCTAGTCAAGGATATCAAAGAAATATTTTCCTTCTTTGAGGTTTCCTCTGCACAACATTACTAAACCCCAAAGATACATACCCTTATCGTATTTTCCATAAGCAGATTGGCACATGTGAGGTGATTGAGTGCTTTGATTGATTTGTGGTGGAAGAAGTACTGATTTATTCCCTCACTATTAAGATGAGTTTCAGCTGATAGGTGTCCGATATGGGGGGGAGGGGGGGCTGGTGTGCGTGGTAGATATTTATATTGTAGCCAAGGCTGCCGTGGTTCAGATACTGGAGGTACAAAGATTAAAGAGTAGGAATAAGTACATAATTTTTTTTACAAAAGAGTAAGTTTTCAAAGTCATAAAGAATTAGTTTACGTCTCCTTTGGACCAATTTTTTTTTCTTTTTATGACTTCTTTTGGTTACATATGATGATGATGCGGTGGAGTGTTCATAAACACTAAGATTTTTGGGAGATCTCCCGTGGTTGCTTTGCCATTAAATTCAACTGGCGTCTTCACCATTATTTCTGAAAATCGTAATGGTTGAGTAATTAGGAATCAAGAGGTTGCATCAGAACCGTGTAGTGAAAGAATGTAGGAGATACATAACTACTGGCTTTTGCAATTACACTGCATTTACAGTGTGAGCTAATCATTCAGTTGGGAGGCGCGTAGGCACCCTGCAACGATAAACTTTAATTTGTAAGGTTATAGCTTCTTAAATCCAATTTTTTTTTTGTTAATTTTTAGCAGTTTGTTATTTATAAACTTGTCTTCTAAACATATAGGATGTGTCAATATAGGTTATATAAGCTCTGAAATGTGTCTAATTTTTATGAGATGTGCAAGTGTTCATACTGTAATGGTAACTTCTTAATTTTATTATTTTGTGTTAATTAATTATTATCAGTTTGTTACTTATAAATTTCTCATCTAAAACCTTGTATATGTGGCAGTCATTTTTTTGAACAGATTCTTATATATTTGGCAATCATAAACCAAAGTGATATAAGCTCCGACCTTTGTTTAAACAAAGTGATATAAGCTCTTCTCTTTGTTTATTTTTTAGAAGTTGTGCAAGTGTTCATTAGCTCTGTAGTTTGTGTAGTATTATATGAGTTATGAAAGTGTTCATAATTTTCTATGATGGTATCTTCATAATTCTATTAATTTGTGTTAATTATTATCATTTGTTACTTTAAATTGCAATATATGTAATACAAACTATGCACCTTGTTTAGTTATAAGTTGTGCAAGTGTTAATTATTTTATATGAAATGTAAGGATGCATGAGAACAAACTTTACAAAAAACTAAAAAAAAAAACTATACAAAAAGATGACCGTCGGTTTGATCTCTGAAACCTAAGGTAAGAAGACGACTTAACGGACTGAAAATGTGTGTAAATCTAAAAAAAATTCTATTAATTTGTGTTAATTATTATCATTTGTTACTTTAAATTGTATACACTAAAACGTCGAAGATGTTGCAATATATGTAATACAAACTATGCACCTTGTTTAGTTATAAGTTGTGCAAGTGTTAATTATTTTATATGAAATATAAGGATGCATGAGAACAAACTTGACAAAAAAGTAAAAAAAAAAAACTATACAAAAAGATGACCATCGGTTTGATCTCTGAAACCTAAGGTAAGAAGACGAATTAACGGACTGAAAATGTGTGTAAATCTAAAAATAATTCTGCAAGTTGGGTAATACATAAATCATTCTATAACTGGCCATTATAGTTTGAAGAGCCCAAACCCATTTTTTTCAGAAACTCAAAAAATCAGAATGTGACAAACCGAGATGTGAATTAATTTTGTCCGGTTTGATTTCATTAGTAAATGCTGACATGTCATTTTTTGCCCCATGCTCTAATGTTGATGTGGAGGCTTGAGAAGTGAGAAAACTCAACTTTATTGTATAAGATATATATATTTCAGTTGGCAAAACTTTCTAGATTTTTTTTTTATCACCTATAATTTTCTAAATTTTTTTAACATACTTTAGATAGAATATGATTTTTTATTCATTTAATAATTACGATTATTTAATATTAAACTTTTATTTATCTATCTTATTATATAAAGTATTTATTATATATATAAAAGTTGAAAGAATGTTGATATCTTTATAATGTTAAATAACTGAGAAATCAGTTTTGTGTCATTATTAAATTAATGATAACTATGGCTAATTATAAAAGTGTCTTTAATAAATTTAAATTCTTATGTATAGTTTCATTATTGTAGCTTCCTTTTTTTTTTTTATAACACTGGTTTGATTAAAATGTGCAAGGTGATACAATAGCAGCAAACAATAAGATAAAGATAAGATGTAAGTAGACACCAAACAAAACAAGGAGGAGATCGTACTAAACCCCTTTCTTACTGAGCCTCCAAAACGAGAAGATGATGTAGTCACGCTGGAGCATTTCGGGCGATATATGACTGGTGCCGACGGTCTCGTGTGACGCTTAAAGCAATAGCCGTCGCAGCTTCATTACGTTCCGGCAAAGCATGATCCAAACTCCATGAATCAAAACTTGCCAGAAGAAGAAAAATACTATGAGTGATATGGCTGAGGGTAAGGTGCTCATTTGGTTTCGTGAGGGCGTCATGTAATCTCGCCGAGGAAGTCTCAAAAATAACATTTGAGAAGTGTAGATTATGTAGGCATTCAACCGCCCAAAAGAGAGCCCACAGGTCCGCCTCGGTCTGTGTGCGCATATATGAATAGGCTCGACGACTATGCATGATTGTACTGCCATATTCATCGCGTACAATCCATGAAGCACCACTAAGTTGATTTGAATTTGCCCATGAAGATCTCACATTACATTTAAGATAACCATTGAGTGGTTTTTTCCACTGTACCTTTTCCGTCCCAACACCATTCACATCATCCATAGATCCCGTGAAGGTATCGTACCAAGTGGATTCTTCTTCATAGGCTTTCTTAGCACTAAACGAGGATTCAATAACCTTGGTTTCAAAAACAAAGGAATTTCTGGCTTTCCATATTTCCCACAATAACCATAGAAAAACTTTCTGTGTATGTATATCCGTAGATTGGTTCTTAGCACTCTTGATTAAATGCACAAAAGTTAAAAAGGTGGAAGTCCGGGAAAAACCACCTAAAGGTAATGGAAAATTCGCTTGTTCCCATGTGATACGTGCTTTAGTACATGTAAAAAGAACATGACATATAGTCTCGGCCTCGTTACCACAAACAGGACAAGTTGGATCAATCGGAATACCCCGAGTAGTCAACCATTGCCTGACAGCTAAAGCACTAGACAAAGCTCTACACATAAAATGTTTTATTTTTGGTGGAGCTTTGATTTTCCACACACCCCTCCATAATTTTTTTTCAATAGGAGTGAGCGAGTGTTGTTGAGGATGATCATAATCTACCATAGCCTCTAACAACTTATACCCACTCCGAGTTGAGTATGAGCCATTTGGTGTGAAACCTCATCTGATAGAATCTTCCATTACCAAAGTGGCTTCAAAAGGAGTATCCTTTGAACGTCCTGAGGCGTAAAAGTCTGGTGTAATAAATTAGTATCCCAATGATTTGAGCCCGGCCTGAGTAATCCGAAACTTTAAGCGCTAAATTTATGGAACTATTTTCACGGTACATTGGCGGTCGAGGTACCGTGTCAATTATCCAGTTTTCCGCCTACACGTTAGTATCAGCCCCATTGCCAATATGTCTATACAGTCCTGTTTTGAGTAATTATCGACCGTGCATGATGCTCCTCCAAGCATACGATGGACGTGTACCCATTCCACAGTCGAGAAAATTTCCATTTTTAAAATATTTACCTTTAAGAATTCGAGAAACCAACGAATCAGGATTGTTCCAAATTCTCCAAGCTTGCTTCCCTAGTAAAGCCTGATTGAAGCGGCCAATGTCATGAAACCCAAGACCACCTTGGTCTTCGGGTTTACATAATTTTTCCCAAGAAACCCAAGATATTTTTCTTTTTTTATCTCCACTACTCCACCAAAATTCTATGATCGCACTCGTAATTCGTTCACAAAGATCTTTTGGTAACCTAAAAACTGACATTGCATATATTGGGAGAGCGAGGGCCACCGATTTTATTAACACTTCCTTGGAACCCATTGACAAAGTTTTGGAATACCATCCTTGTAACCTGCCTTCCAATTTTTCCTTAATAAAATTTAGAAGATCTTTTTTTGATCCTTGAAAACATTCAAGAAGTCCAAGATATGAGCTTTCATCCCCTTCTTTTTCTATACCCAAAACCCCTTTGATAACATGCCTGGACTGATCGTCTATTTTTTTTTTCCAAATATGATTTATGATTTCAAAGGGCTAATCATTTGACCCGAAGTATCCCCATAAAGTTTAAGACCTTTTAAAATTTCCTCACTATTTCTTACTGAGGCTTCACATAATAACAAGCTATCATCCGCAAATAGCAAATGGTGGACTGCAGGGCTACCCGTAGCTAACTTTATACCATGTAATTTTCCTTGTGCTTCTGCTCTGTTTAAGACATGTACTAAAGCTTCAGCACATAAAATGAAAAGAATAGGGGATAAAGG